AACCTAGGGAATTCCCTTTCCAATGGCTTATGGCAGCACATTCCCAGCCCCCAAGCCAGACCTCTGGCTACCGACCCAGGGTCAGGAAAAGCAGTTTGTCACACTAACATTTTAAACAAATATTCTACTGGAGTTAGAGAAAACTTCTCCACAGATTCCATCAGACTTTGTGACTCATTCTGAGAGCTCCCCTAAATATTTTGGGGCACTTTCCTGCTTTCATAATGGGGGAAGGGGGAGAACAGCACCAGTATTGGCTAATTATTCCCCTTTCTGCAGGAGGGTTATGCCCTGGCAAGGGTCATAAAGTAAAAAAAAAAAAGAGGTAAATGTGGAATTCAAGAAATCATGGGAAATGCCAAACAGGAGCCCCTATGAGCCCTGAGACAAATGTACCCCCTCAAAGAGCAGATTCTGTCCCCAGGAAAAATGCCCTCTCCAACCCACCCTCCCCCCCCAAGCCGTTTGGAAACATGGCACCTGCTCCGCATCACACTGCAGTTCAGAGCCGGCAGCCATGTGCAAGAACCCTGTAACCAACTGAAACAGCAGTAAGGCTTTAGGGAGACCAAATGGAATCACGTGAGTTGAAGCAGGTTGCATAAGCCATGCAGAGTGCCCTATCTTCTTCTCCCAGACCCTGAGCTCCTGTCTCCCTGCACAGATTTCCAGCCTCCTCCACTGCCTGCCTGGACCAGCTTCTGACTCTCCCGGCATGGCAAGGGCTGGACTTTTCCCCAGGAACTGTGAGCCTCACTGGGAAATGCGCTCAGTGAAATGTACATAAATGTGTAGCTGCTGTGATTAATAAGGGGACTCAGGGGTGGGTAAGTGGGGAGCGGTTGGCTCCTTCCCTTTCACTATAGACAGATTGTGCCTTACCCTGGGTGGAAGGACACTCACAGTTAGTGTATAAATAGCTCTGCTGAGAGCTAACAAAGGCCCCTCTGCTGTACCTAGCAGAGCGAATGGAGAAGTGCTCGGGTAATGTGAACTGAATGTTTCGTGTCACTGACCATGCTCACTCAGGGGGGATTCCCAGCTGCTTTAGGCTAAACACTTGAATCCATCCAAACAGCAAGAATATTTAAACAAAATGAAACCATTGCAAAGTAAAATACTTTGTACAGAAAATAAAATAGAAAACACTGACAGAAACCAGAGGAAGACAGGCCCCACCTCACACAGAATCCAAACTAACCAAGGAACATGCACTGCCGAGTCTCCGAGCAAGGACTCCCCTTTGTCCATGGGCCCATTTGGTGCCTATTTTAGCTTTGGATCATTTTTAATTAAAAGATGCCAGACGAGTTTAAGATCATAGGGTCAGATTTGGCAGTGAGAGCTGTGTGAATGGCCTGGGAGGATTGATCCACAAGCAAGAGTGATGGGGGATTGCATGGTGGTGTGGAGCTAGCAGAGGGCTTCACGTGGCCAATTCCCTCCTTGGCCAGGAACAGTGTGAAAGACCAGGATTGTACTGTGCTACCCTGATCCTGGGCTGGGTATTCACTAATGCCACCCGGCAGCCCTGGCTGCCCTCACACAGTGCACACTGGGGATGGACACAGAGTGATACTGGGACTGGAGCAGTGCAAGCAGGCATTTCATTAGAACATCAGAACGGCCAGACTGGGTCAGACCAAAGGTCCGTCTACCCAGTAATCTGTTTCTGACAGTGGCCAGTGCCAGGTGCCCCAGAGGGAATGAACAGAACAGGAAATCATCAAGTGATCCGTCCCCTGTCGTCCATTCCTAGCTTCTGACAGCCGGTAGGGTTGCCAACTTTCTAATTGCACAAAACCGAACACCCCTGCCCCGCCTGTGCCCCCGCCCTGCCCCGCCCCTTCTCTAAGGCCCCGCCCCCGCTCGCTCCAGCCCCCCTCTCTCCATCGCTCGCTCTACCCCACCCTCACTCACTTTCACCGGGCAGGGGCAGGAGGATGGGGTGTGGGAGGGGGGTGAGGGCTCCGTCCCAGGATGCGGGCTCTGGGGTGGGGCTGGCCATGAGGGGTTTGGGGTGCGGGTGAGGGCTTCAGACTGGAGTAGGGGGTTGGGGTGCAGGGCGAGTATGGGCTCTGGGCTGGGGATGCAGGCTCCAGGTGGGGCCAGAAATGAGTGGTTCAGGGTGTGGGAGAGGGCTCTGGGCTGGGGCAGGGGGTTGGGGTGTGGGGGTGAGGACTCTGGCTGAGGGTGCAGGCTCTGGGGTGGGGCCAGGGATAAGGGGTTTGGGGTGAAGGAGAGGCTACGGGCTGGGGCAGGGGGTTGGGTGGGTGAGGGCTCTGGCTGGGGGTGTGGGCTCTGGGGTGGGGTCATGGATGGGGGGTTTGGGGTGCAGGAGGGAGCCCAGGGACCTGGCAGTCACTTCTGGGAGCCGTGCGGAGCTAGGGCAGCCAGAGAGCCTGCCTTCGCCCTGGGCCCCCACTGTGCCACCAACCAGACTTTTAATGGCCTGGTCAGCGGTGCCGACCGGCACTGCCGGGGTATCTTTTTGGTCGAAAACCGGACACCTGGCAACCCTAGCAGTTGGAGGTGAACACCCAGAGCATGGAATTCCGTTCCTGCCCGTCCTGGCTGATAGCCGTTGATGGACCCATCGTCCAGGAACTGATCTAGCGGTGAACCAGACCAGGTGCACTGCCCGCGGCTCGGCACTACAAGAAGGATACAAATGCAAGAGGGCCACATCCTATTCCACCCCGCGCAGCCCCTTTGCCTTTCCCTCGGCAGGAAACAGAGCAATGCTGCCCCCTGCAGGCCAGCTCCTGGCAGTCTCCCTAAAGGACACGTTGGATGGATTCCCACTCTGGGCCTTGTGGCAACAATTCTCCACCCTGACCCACCTCAGAGCAACAGGCATTTCCCTGGGAGTCCACCTACATCTCTCTTTGCTCCACTCCGTCCCATTAGGACTTGTGATTCGGCCAAAAAGACCCATTTTATTCAGGGGCCAAGGGTTCCCGGTATGGGGGGTGCTTGAGACTCCCCTAGAGGGAGGGCTGCTGGAACACCAGGCAAGGCTTCACCAGAACCTCCCGCTCAGGCTGTCTGGGCGCCCAAGCAGCGCACTGGACTTCAGCATGCCCCTGCCCCATGACTGCAGTTCCCATCACACACCAAGGCCTGCCGGTGGCCTGTGCTGTTACCCCTGCTTCCCGAGGGCTTTCCACCAGTGAGTCCAGGGCATCAGCAGCCAGACAGTGAAAGGGGGACTCTGGCAGGTGATAGCTTTTAGCAGCAGGGCAGGGTGCCACGGTAGGATGCAAAGAAAGATGCTGCAGCTAAGGAGAACCAGGCTGGCAGCAGCCCCTGGGGATGGTCAGGATCTCTGAGTTTAGTGGCAGTTTAAAGGTGGCCCCTCCTGCAGCATGCCCCCACAGCACTGCGCTGGGGACCTGGGGTCAGCACTGAGGGCAGGGCACAGCCCCCTTCTGGCCCCGACACACTCCTGCAGCACTTGGCTGGGCAGGGGGCCACCGGCACAGGCAGGCCTGGGTCAGCCTGTGAGCACTGAAGTAATCCCAGCGGGGGGAAGGATCCCCAGGAAGCACACCACAGCCCAGCACCCATCCCACCCAGAGCCAGGCCTCACCTGCCTGGGGGTCCTGCCCCGGCCGCAGTAGGGCAGCGAGGGAGGGGGCTGCAGGGGGCCTGGCTGGCCTGAGCTCTTGGGGAGGCTGTGCCTCCCTGGCACCCCAAGCCTGCAGGCAGGGCAGCAGAGGGGGGGAGAGGCTCAGACTCTGCACCCTGGGCAGCTCCCTTCGGCCCCCCAGGAGCAGATTCCTGGGCTCCTTCTGGCCTCTCCCCAGGGTTTGGAGTCCCCAGCCCCTATTGGGCTTTCCTGGCAGGGGAATCCCCACCCCAGAGCACTGGGGGCCGGGGCAGGACCCGGGTACTGGGCGGGGCAGAGCGCAGTGGGAAGCCGGGGTTAGCAGGAGAGAGGGGAACGGTCCCCCCAAACACGCCCCTCTCCCCACCCCCATTGAAGGACCCGTGCCCGTGCCCGTGCCCGTGCCCGCCCAGCTGGGGGCGCCGGCCTGGGTGCTGTGGCCCTGCGAGGAACAGGCCCCGGGCCCCCGGGGCTCGGGTCCAGGCGCAGAGCCCGGGGCGGCCGGGGACACGGCCCCCTGCCCCCCCCGCCCCCTGAGCTGCATTGTCGCGGGAGCGCGCCCCGCCGCGGGAGCGCGCCGCGCACAGGAGCAGGGAGGCGGCAGCCAAGATGGAGTCGCGGCTGCTGCAGCTGGTGGGAGCGAGCGGGCGCGTCTAGGGCTCCCCGCCCGCAGGCTCCCCCCATGGCCTGGCCCCTCGCAGGCCACCCCGCGGGCTCGCCCTCCGCACCGGAGCCCCTCCCGGGGCATCTCCCCTCGGCCTAGCTGCTGCTGCGCTGCGGCTGCCAGCCCGTGCGCCCCCGGGCCCGATCCGTGCGCCCCCGACCCCGACCCGTGCGCCCCGGGCCCGATCCGTGCGCCCCGGGCCCGATCCGTGCGGCCCGGGCCCCCACCCCTGCGCCCCGGCCCCGGCCCGTGCGGCCCGGGCCCGATCCGTGCGGCCCGGGCCCCCACCCCTGCGCCCCGGCCCCGATCCGTGCGCCCCCGGCCCCGACCCGTGCGCCCCGGCCCGTGCGCCCCTGGGCTCCCATCCCTGCGCCCCGGGCCCCCCACCCCTGCGCCCCGGCCCCAATCCCTGCGCCCCCGGGCCCCGATCCGTGAGCCCCGGCCCCGCGCCCCCACCCCTGCGCCCCGGCCCCGATCCGTGAGCCCCGGGCCCCGATCCGTGAGCCCCGGGCCCCGATCCGTGAGCCCCGGGCCCCGATCCGTGAGCCCCGGCCCCGCGCCCCCAGCCCCGCGCCCCGGCCCCGGCCCCGATCCGTGAGCCCCGGCCCCGCGCCCCCAGCCCCGCGCCCCGGCCCCGATCCGTGAGCCCCGCGCCCCCAGCCCCGGCCCCGGCCCCGGCCCCGGCCCGGCAGGATGCTGCCCTCGCAGGAGGCCTCCAAGCTCTACCATGACAACTACACGCGGAACTCGCGGGCCATCGGGGTGCTCTGGGCCATCTTCACCATCTGCTTCGCCATCATCAGCGTGGTGGTCTTCATCCAGCCCTACTGGATCGGGGACAGCGTCAGCACGCCCAAGCCGGGCTACTTCGGCCTCTTCCACTACTGCGTGGGGAACGGGCTGGCCAGCCGCGAGCTCGCCTGCCGCGGCTCCTTCGCCGACTTCAGCACCCTCCCCTCGGGCGCCTTCAAGGCGGCCTCCGTCTTCGTGCTGCTCTCCATGGTGCTGATCCTGGGCTGCATCTCCTGCTTCGCGCTCTTCTTCTTCTGCAACACCGCCACGGTCTACAAGATCTGCGCCTGGATGCAGCTGCTGGCGGGTAGGCGGCCGCGGCTCGCCCCGCTGGGGCCAGGGCCGGGCGGCCGGGCCGGCGCCGGCTCTCAGCGCAGCCTCGGCCCGGGGCTCTCGGGGCTTCGCTCGGCTGGCGGCGCTGGGGCTACCCAGGCTGCAGCCCGGGGAGAAGCACCAGCTCCGCGGGTAGAGGGCGACAGACGTGGGGGAGGGTCCCGAGCAGGCCCGGGCGGCCTGGGGCAGGGGGCTCCTGTGGTTGGGCCGGGCCGGGCCGGGCCGGGCCGGGCCGGGCCGGGGAGCAGAACCCCACCGGGCAGGCTGCAGAGGCCGGGTTTGGGTCTGGCTTGGTGCCGGGGGTCCCCCTCGGAGCAAGGGCTGCTTTCGGTGTAACGGGGTGCCCTGTGCACACCCAGATCCAGCTGCCATTTCAGCCGGGCAGTCTGGTCTGTTCCAGGGGTCTGGCCCGGAGCTCCGAGCTAACTAGTTTGAGAGTCACCTGCCCAGGTTGCCCAGAGTCTGAGTCGCAGCCGAGTGGCTGGGCTCAGGCATGGGGATTGGACCCGCCATCCGCGGGGCCAGGCGCCCTGCAGCTGCCCGGGGTGCAGCCGGATGGGGAGCCAGCCTTGCTGCCTATGGCTCCGGCGGCAGACAGGGGCCTGCCCGGCTCCCCCAGCTTGGACCTTGGCATCCCAGCAGGGGTGGTGGAGAGCCAGGCCAGCTGGGCCCGAAGGCTGGGTGCACAGGGGGCCCAGCACACGGTGGGAGGTTCTGGCTCCTGACATGGCACTCAGCCCCCAAGGTGGGAAGGACACAGTGCGGGATGGGCGCAGGTGCTCCCTCCCACATCCTGGGCCCACCCTCCCTGCTGCCAGACACCAGGCCTTGCCCCCAGCCACTGTGCACAGGGGGCCCCTTCCTGCAGTCCCTGTCCCCTACCCAAGGCAAGGATACGGGATCGATACATTTCTACAGCAATGAATGGTGACCCAAGCGCCAGTCAGAGGTGACCCTGCAGGGGCCAGACCCTGGAGAGACAGCCCAACCCCACCCTGACCTTGCAGGGGTCTGGGCACTGGTGAGACAACCCACCCCAACTCCCACCCTTCAGGGGCCAGGCCCTGCCAAGACAACCCACTCAGACTCTGCAGGGAGCCAGGCCCTGGTGAGACAGCCCATCTCCACCCAGCAGGGGCCTGGGCAGATAGCTTCCCTCCTCTCGACCCAGCAGAGGCTAAGTAAAAGCTGACACAAAAAGAGGAATTTGGACCACTGATTTCAGACCTGAATAAATCCCTGTTCCATGGTTCCAGGCCCTCCAGCTGCATGGGGGCCCTGTGGGCTCAGCCTCTGCTCTCTCCCCTCCAGGGTGGGAGGCTCTGCTTGGCCATCTGCCCGCCCACCTGCCCACCAGGCTGAGGAGGGTCCTGCTGCAGCCTCTGGCTTGTCAGACGGATGCAGTCTAGCCCTGACAGGAAGCTCAAGTCAATGCACCCAGCAGGCCTGGTTCTGCTCTCCACCCTGGGGCCTGGCTTTCTGAGTGAAGCTGCAGTGGTAGGGCATGGCTGGAAATGCTAGGGCTGATCCATTAATGGGTTTGAAAACCAGGCTCAAGTCCTTAAAGTGGCAGCAGAAGCAGCCTGGGGGCAGAGAAGGAAACAGGGCACAGGGGCATGGGCTGGTGCTGGCCTTGGCCCTGGGGGAGGCAACCAGATGCATTCTGCATGAGTGAGAGCCTCTGCTTTGAAGGTCTCAATCATCAGTCCCAGGAAGGGCAGGATACAGGAATCCAGGGGGTGGGGGGGCGGGGAATGAATGCGTTACATTCGGAACATACTTTGAGAGCAGGTCTGGCTAAACCCTCAGGTTTTCACTGCAAGAGTTTGTCTCAGCCCAGGCTTCTGAGGCAGTGCGCTACGGTGTATTCACGCTCTTGGTACCTTTAAACTCTGTTCAGTGAATTGGGGGAGCAGCTCTGCCTCATTGCAAACAGTCTGGAGTCGAAGGCCATTATTTGATGCCAGTTCTGTTTACAAATTGCTCTACGCATCCAGGCCCCACTGCTGTACGGTACGTGTAGTTCACAGCACCCAATGCAAATGGAATCCAGGAAGCGAGGTGGCTGGCTGGTGCAGTTACTGTTACAGTCGATCAGAACACGGGGGCAGGGGGAGCAGCTGGGCTTTTGGAAATGGACTATTTTACAAGAGACCTTCCTGGGCTGGCGTAGCTTTCCTAAAAGTCAGGTGGAGCATCTTTCAGACAGCTAACTAAAACGAGCCCTGGACCAGGGAGTTAGGGGCTGCTGGCAGAGGAGGAGAGGGATTTCTCACGGTGGCTTTGAGAGGAGAGGAAGGAGCCACAAGGAAGATTGGTTCAGATGGCAGAGCCCCATAGCAAAGGCTCATAGCCCCCTCAGCGTACAGGTCAGTGTTAGGTAAGCAGACAGAGGAGGGAAGGGAGGAGTGAGACAAGGTCTGGGAGTTAGTCTGGACTCTGGGCTATTTTTAAAACCAAGGCAGATGAGCTAGAGCTAGATCCTGAAGTGGGTGAGGAGACAGTGACATAAGGTTCAGCTGGGGTGTCTTGGCAGCTGCCACATGCTGGAGTGAAGGCAGCTCTAGATGTGGGAAGCGCAGTAGTCCAGGTGGAGATCATGTAAGCATGGAGAGTGAACTGAGGCAGTGAAGCCCATGGAGCGTGTGAAGGTTGCACTAAGCAGAGTTATGGACATGGGCTGGAGAAGGAGGAGGAGAAATCAGGGCCTTGGCTGATAGACACAGTGTTATGGACAGTGGAGATAAATGGAGGAGTTGTGTTGGGGGTGGGGCAGTAGAGGAGATGATGATGTGCATGAGTAAAGTAGCATTTAAAGTAGCATTTAAGGCTAGAGATACTGAGCTGAAGGAAGCCACACCTTTCCCAGGCCACAGCAGGCAGTGAGGCTGAAGGCTGTACAGTCTCACTGGCAAAGGGGCGGTAGGCAGGTGAAAGCAGCGAGAAGGGAGAAGACGGCCCGCTCTCATTTCCTACCTGGTTTTCAAATTCACTCATGGACTGGAGCTAGTGAGCAGGAGTCCACACAGGGGAGTGTTGTGAGAGAGTTTAGAGAGGGAGTGTGAGAGCCAGATACACCAAATAAACAGTCTCCAAACTTAGGCAAACCCTCTCCCCCATCAAAAAAACCCCCACAACCCACCCCAAGAACAAAGAAAGAAAGAAAACCTGGAAGAGTACAAATCAGGTGTGCAGAAGCCCGGCAACAGAGTGGGGGCTAGCCAGTTCATTGCACTGACTGCAGCCTGGCTAAGTACCTACCCTGTGGGCAGGGGGCTTGTGTGTGCATTCGATGCAAGCAGTTCATGGCCCTCAGAGCCGGTACTCAGCCTCTGGAGACCAGAGTGACTGAGCTGGAGGAGCTGAGGAAGGGAGACAGGTACACAGGCAAGACTTTCCAGGACACAGCAGAGTAGTCCCACCCCAGTCTGGCAGCCTCTGTGCTGTTGAAGAGGAGGAGAGTCTCAGAGAAGGAGAACATCAAGCTGGAGTGGAGAAAAATGATCCCGTAGTTTGGACCCTCCTTACAGATGATATCATAGTAGTTCTCTGGGGTGGGGGGGGGGGGATCACTGTTATTATGAAGAGACAGGTAATAGTAATGGGGAATTTGATTATTAGAAATCTAGGTAGTTGGGTTTGTGATGACCAGGAGAAGCGCATGGTGAATTGCCTGCTGGGTGTGAAGGTTGTGGACCTCTGGAGACAACTAGACAGACTTATGTGCAGCCAGTGGTTGTGATACATAGGGATGGACATAGGGATAGGTAGGAGAGAAATCCTGGAGGCCAAGTTTTGGCTGCTAGGTAAAAGATTGAAGTCCAGGACCTCCATGGTAGCATTCTCTGAAATGCTTCCAGTTCCATGCTCAGGGCCAGTTAGACAGGCAGAACTGCAGGGTCTTAATGAGTGGATGAGACAATGGTGTTTGGAGGAGGGGTTTAATTTTATTAGGAACTGAGGAACCTTTTGGGAGTGGAGGATGAAGGATAGACATGAAGGATAGGCTCCACCTAAACCAAAACAGAACCAAATTGCTGGAATGTAAAATTAAGAAGGTCATAGAGGAGTATTTAAACTAAGGCCTGAGGGAAAGCCAACAGGTGCAAAGGAGCACATGGATTGGACCCCTAAGGGGAGGGAATATTCTATATTCTAGTAAAGAGAAGAGGATAGATGGGCTAGACGTGCAGGTAAGAGCTGAAGAGTAAGTCAAATGAAAAAAAGTCCAATTGATTATATCACATGAAGGCAGACAACTGAATATTGACACATTTTATAAGTACTTCTATATAAATGCAAGAAGTTTAAATAATAAGATGGGTGAATTTGAGTGCTTGGTGTTAAATGAGGATACTGATATAACAGGCATCACAGAAACTTGGTGGAACAATGATAATCAATGGGACACGGTAATACCAGCATGCCAAATATGTAGGAATAACAGAGTAGGTTGGACTTTTGGGGGAGTGGCACCATATGTGAAAGAAAGTGTCAAATATAATAAAAATATTAAATGAATCAAACTACACCATAGAATCTCTATGGGTAGAAATCCCATGCTTAAATAATAAGAGTAGAGCAGTAGGAATATACTGCCAGCCACCTGACCAGGATGGTGCTGGTGACTGTGAAATGGTCAGGGAGATTAGAGAGGCTTCAAAAACAGAAAGCCCAATAATATTGGGGGATTTCAGCTATCTCCAT